CCTCTCACGAGGTTGCAGTCAGGATGCAGGAGGAGATTACATCTCACCTGAAGGCTCAAATGGGGAGAATCAACTTTCATTTCATTCCCTTCTTTGTTGGCAGGACTGAGCTCATTGGCTGTTGGCCAGAAGCCAACCACAGTTCTCTGCCCTGTGGGCCTCTCCAAAGTGTAGCTCACGTGACTGCCCTGAGAATGAGACAGGGGGCAGGGGGGCCAAGATGAACCAGTCTTTGCACTAATGTTGGTACTAACACCCATCACCTCTGCTGTATTATATTCACTGTAAGTATATGCAGTGTTCATCCTCTTGGCCTATCGGTCATGTGCTCTGTCACATAACTCTTCCATGTGCAGCTAGGACACACTGCCCAAAAGATAACTATTGTCATTAGCTTACTATTATTATTAAACTGATATTGAACGTCGGGTATGAGAATATGAATATAAAATGACCTCTCTGTTTAACTGAGTCTTTCATTAAATTGGAAGAAAGAGGGTAAAGCCCAAGGGAATGGCTATTTCTACAGCTTACATGGGGAAAATTTAGGGAAGTATAACATATACAGTATCATGTCTGCAGTACAGAAACTTCCAGAAGAAAAATGAGCTAGAAATGACACTCATCCCTTTCCTTTTCCCTTAGCAACTGACACAAGAAGTGAGGTGGTGCCAGAGAGTCTCCGAGTAATACCTTTTTTCTTTCCAGCTATATTTCTCAGTGTGACAATATTGTCCTGCGTTATGAAGGCAACCACTTTTCTCTTGAATACTTAAAACACTTGGAAATCATAACACGGTGTGTTGCCAGTATTAAATTAAGATAATGAAGTTACGGGTCATAAAGTCTAATGTGCTCATTTTTAAAATGAAGCATCCGAGTCTCAGGTTACAAACGGCTTGCCCTAGTTTCACTCTGCTCCATGTGCATTAGCGGGGCTCGACGACCAAACACCAGTCCTGTTTCCTTTGTGCTTTCATGGATATGGATTTACTAACACACTAGGGACCCAGGCAGAGATTCTTGTGTGTGTATGTGTGTGTTTGTGTGTGTGTGTGTTGGTCTTGTTAGGACTAGATCATAAAATTATGTCTTTTCTTATTCTATATTCTGATTGTGTAAAAGGGAAAATCTGTATTAACAAGTATGTGGTACTCAGTTGTTTAAGGTGGAAAAACCTAGAATAGGAGGAAGAATTACATCAGACCATGAACTTTGGAATCAGACAGCCCAGAGTGGAGGTTCTAATAAGTAGCTGTGTTATCCTGGGCACATTTTTAAAACTAGGCTAAGCCCTACCCTAGTCTTCCCGTTTATATAAACAATGAAAACAGTATCTACCAATATCATTGGCCTGATACACTTTGAGAAAGAGATGTCTGTTTATTTCTTTCTATTCATCCATTCAACCACCCAGTGTTTAAAATTTCAATTACCGTTAAAGGAAATCACAAAAAGGGATATGGAATTCTACATTTGGATAGTTAAGAGTCGGTATATTGCTTGGTAAATAAAAATGAAATTCCAATCTTAAAATATTCTGTTCTTTTCACTCTGGTTTAATCCTGCCTAAGTACACAGATTTTTCTTTCCCTTCCAAGAAACAGTTGTCAGAAAGGAAAAACATTTTTCCTCTGCCTTTTAGATTCAGTACCTGAGGTGTGTGAATTAAAATGACAACAGACAGATTAACAGGGGGGAAATGTATATAAATTTAATTGATGTTTTAAATTTTGCATGCATGGGGCTATACAGAAGTGAAAGCTCAATGAAGCAGTTAGACTCAGAAGTTTACATACTATTTTAACAAAGGGTGATAAATTATGGAGAAGTGACTAGACAAAGGAAAGGAGGGTCTGGGCTTCAAGAAGTAGAAAATTATGGGAAGTAAATAGATGAGGTAACTAATGGAACCCATATAAGATATATTATCTATATAAATAACCTATATAAGGGTTATTTTAATAAGGTTTGTTTGCACAGTCTCATCTTGGTGTTGACTTTCCGTCTTCTTCATAGCCATAAATCTTCCAGAGAGGATATTTATGGCAATCCTCATTTCTCAAAAGCTTCTGCTTTTAGTCAGATAAAGGCAGCTCCAAGAAGTCTTCTTTCTGCGTCTGTTGATTCTCAGTTGCCTTCGGCTCAAAATAATGCACATGCCGAAGTGGCATATTTGGGGGCAGTATATTCTAATCCCATTCGTGTTCGTTCACTTTTTAATTCTTCCATCAAAATGTTACTGTGGTTCCAGAACACAAAGATTACTAATAAGCTACAAATCATAGCCTCAAGGTGCTCACAATCTTAATAGGAAAACAAACATAAACAAGTTAATGTAATACAGTGACTGCTGTGAGTTGTTCAGAGGCTGCTGTGGGAACCCAGGGAGGGGAAGAGACCTAAGCTGGTATATGTGGGGCGGTGGTGACAAGGAATGGTTTCCCCAAGGACATAAATGCTTGAGCCACTAGTCTGAAAACATTTCTGGGAGAAAGAGCATTCTGGGAAAAGTCATAATATGCACACTAGGGGAAGAGGAGGTCCAGTTCATGCAGGTTACTAACTATGGCCAGAACTCAAGACCTGTGGGGAATCAGCAGAAAATGAGACTAGATACATAGGCAAGAGCTATACAGTAGTAAGGGCTGCTTCTAAGGACTCTGAATTTTACCCTATATGTCAGTGGCTTCTAAAGTGGCTTGGCAGGAGGGAGTATGCAAGATGATTCAGGCAAAAGTGTTAGAACTTCTATTTTTATTTTTTCTATTTCAGGGTGTGTACTATAACATATTTATAGTCGTGTTACACATATACACACTTTATATCTAAGTAAATGGACATGGGTTGGGAGTGCATGCTCCTTCTCCCTCTCAAACAATGACTAATCAGAGGAGTGAGGGAATGCAGAAACAGAAGGAAGGTAGTCAAGAACAATAGTGCAGCTATGGGATTGGGTCCTGGTTCCTCAAGGGATGAACATAATAATCTGATACACACGTATGAACTCATCCATAAAAAAGAACGAAATTTTGCCATTTGCAACAACATGATGGACTTGGAGGGTTTCATGCTTAGTGAAATAAGGATAGAAAAAGACAAATACTGTAGGTTATCACTTATAAGTGGAATCTAAAAAATACAACAAACTAGGGGGGAGGGTATAGCTCAAGTGGTAGAGCTCATGCTTAGCATACACAAGGTTCTGAGTTCATATACCCAGCACCTCCTCTAAAACTAAGTAAGTAAACCTAATCACCTCCCCCCTTAAAAAAATAAATAAAAACAACAAACTAGTGGACATAACAAAGAAAGAAACTCACAGGTATAGAGAACAAGCTAGTGGTTACTGGTGGGGGAGAGAGAAAGGAGGAAGGGCAAGGTTGAGAAAAGGAGAAGGGTGGGTATTAAGAGGTACAAACTACTATGTATAATAAAATAGATAAGTTACAAGGATGTATTATACAGCACAGGGAATATAACCAATATTTTATAACTATTAATGGAGTATAATCTTTAAAAATGGGGAATCATTATGTTGTACACCTGAAATTTATATAACATTGTATATCAACTACACCACAACAATAATACAAAAAAAATTATAAATGGTAAGTAAAACAGTAAATAGAGGCAAATGGGCAAAAGCTGAATAGAAGTGAATCTAGACCTGCCTCAAGTATCTGAGGTTGCTGGTAGCTCATTTTGTGGGCAGGGCGCCGCACGTCAAGCAAGAATCAAGACCAGTTTTGCACCTCTGTTCCTTTGGAACCTGACCAGCCTAACCAGCCAGAGCTGTCCAATACTTATTTACACCTCGTCAGATCCTGTTGCAAGCCCTAGGCACTGTTTGGATAAAAATCGGAGGCCAGCGGCACGAATTCAGCAATTTAAGAGAAAGTAAGTTGTGTGGATAAGCTGATACCATCTTAGTTTTGGGTTTTTTGAGGGGTGGGGTTGGGGAAGGAATGAGGTACTGGGGATTGAACCCAGGACCTCATCATGCTAAACATGCATTCTACCACTGAGCTACACCCTCCCCCATACCGGTTGTAAAAGTACACTTGGCTCCACATTCGGAAGAAATGGCAAAAATAGCCAATTTCTTAACCTGGTGATTTTATTTAATAATTCAGGGAGATCATTCCATTGTAATTTAAAATACTTGCTTGCTAGAACAGGATACTTTCGAAGATGTGTACGGCAAAAGCCTAATTCTTCTTCACCCTGAGGTTCTTTTACCTCGAATACCTCAAGCTGCTTCGGGAAATTCCCCCACTGGACTTTCGTAGTCTTTCCAGGACACTCTTAAATCTAGACTCCTTTCCAACCAACTTGTACCTTCCTCACCAGCCATATTCTTTAGCCTCTCCAGTTTCCAACTTCCTAAATCTCAAATCTCACCCCACGAGTTAGTCCAATCAAACTTTCCCTTCTTAGACCTCTTCCTCATAGTCGCTCCAGGAAACTCCCGAGAGACTCAGGAGGCTAAATTTGTCCTTAATGGCGCTCCGTAATTCGCCTACTGTTTCACCGCCCTTCCTTACCTCCAGTTAGCTCCGCTCCGCCCCATTCTCGCTTTCCCCCCTCTTCCCCTCCCCCAGTGCCTGCGCTTGCGCACCTCCAATTCAGGCGCTTTCCCTTTCCTGGCGACCAATCCACTTCCTGCCTCCGGTCCTCGGAACGCTCCTCTTCTCAGCTGAGGCCCTCGCTCGCGGTGCTGATTGTGGCTGCCCTACAGATTGCCTGTATGAAAAATTCGCTCCTCTCATCAAGTGGGCAATTTGAGGCCGCCGCTATGCGTGCGGCACCCGTCTGAGACTTTGCTCGCGATCTTCCATCCCTGAGCTAAGCTAAAGGCGTGCGGATGCTGGGTGTAGGGAGCGCCGGACTGTTTTCCTATCTGGCAATCGAGTGGACAGTTGTTTCCTTTCTACCCCCCCGCCCCGCCCCCACTCGCAGCCTGGCCGCGCTGGTGAGTGGCGGGCGGGAGGGCCGGCGGGCGGAGGGAGGAGGGGGAGCTCAGGGAAGGCGGGCCCTCGGCTGCGGGCTAGGTGGGGGGAGGGGAGGGGAGAGCCCGAGCGCTGGAGTTGGTGCTGGGAAACCCGGGGCTAATGTTGACAACAGGCTCGAGGTGAGTCCTGGGGATCCTCCTTCGCCTTCGCTCCAACGACCGGGAGGAAGCGGGGCTGGGGGGCACCGGCCTGGACTCCGACTCCCTGAGGGACCCAAGAGGCAACTCCGCACCCCAGCGTTCCGGGGGCGGCGAGCCGGAGCCCGACCGCGGGTCCCGCGGCGTCCTCCTCAGACCCCTCTCTCCTGGAGGCTCCCATCAACGCGGGAGCCCCCGGGGCAGGCAAGAGGGGCAGTCGAGGGGGGTGCCTGCCCC